AAAAAAAAAAAAAAAAAGAAGAAGAAGAACATGAAGGTAAGATCACATATAACGTGTTAGATGCCCAGATACTGGACCAACACCATGGACCATCAGCATGGCTCAAGCCTGGCATATCTCAACTAGAAGCACCTATCTCTGCTGCTTGAGTAAAAACAGCTGCTGGCAAGGTTTTGGAGCCCTGGGCTGGATCAGCGGAGTCCCAGGGCCCAGGCAGGTGATCCCAACCCCACCCACTGCTGCTTCTCCCTGCTACCCAGCTGCAGTGGTCTGCATGCCAGACCTTCCTGCCACTTGGCTCCCTCCCCTACCCACAGCATGGTTTGCAGAAAAACCCCAGGCTCCACAGGCTGGATCCAGATCCACCCCATGGGACATATGATGCCACCCCCTAAGCTAGTGGGCTAACCCTTCTAACTGAAAGCAGCAATACACTGGAGAATATCCTCTGAGCAAAAAGGGAGTCAGTCCCAATGTGCACCACAGGGGGTAGGAGTGCTGAGAAGCCCCCATGGCTTGGCAAAGGCATCCAGGGATGCCTGAGGACAAAAAAAGGAATCACACAAACAGTGGAAGCAACGGGCTATTACCAAGGAGAATTATACTTCCGTTGCTCGGGACTGCAGGGAGGCTGTTAGGAAGGCCAAGGCAGAGATGGAGCTAGGGCTAGCGACCAGAATTAAGGATAATAAAAAGTCCTTTTTCAAATACATAGGAAGTAAGAAGAAGGCACCGGGTAATATGGGGCCCCTGCAGGATAGGCCTGGCAATCTGGTGATTGTGGCAAATGAAAAAGCTGACCTCTTCAACAAATTCTTTGCCTCCATATTCCTGAACAGGGACCACGACATCTCCCCCACTAGAATTGCAGATGGACCCAGGGGAGGCACCGCCATGCCTAGGGTCAGAGATGTCCTAGTTAGGGAACTTTTGGTGGGGCTGGACATGTTTAAATCAGTAGGTTGAGATGCTCTTTACCTGAGGGTGCTGAAGGAATTGGCAGGGGTCATGGCAGGGCCCCTGGCACAGCTCTGTGAGCACCCCTGGGGCACTGGCCAGGTACCACAGGATTGGAAAAGGGCCAATGTGGTCCCCATTTACAAGAAGGGGAGAAAGGAAGACCCCAGCAATTATAGGCCAGTCAGTCTTACCTTGGTCCTTGGGAAGACCTTTGAGAAAATTATCAAGGAGCACATCTGCAAGGGCCTAGCAGGGGAGGTAATGCTCAGGGGCAACCAACATGGGTTAACTGAGGGCAGGTCCTGCCTGATGAATGTGGTTTCTTTTTATGATCAGGTCACAAAGTCCCTGGACAAGGGTGTCAGGGTAGATGTCATCTTCCTGGACTTTAAGAGGGCCTTTGACATGGTTTCCCACCACATTCTCTTAAAAAAACTAGGTGACTGTGGCATTGATGCCTACACAGTCAGATGGACAGCAAATTGGCTAGATGGTCACACCCAGAGGGTGGTGGTGGACAGGTCATTTTTGACCTGGAGGGATGCGGGCAGTGGAGTCCCCGAGGGCTCAGTCCTGGGGCCTGTACTGTTTAACATCTTTATCAGTGATCTGGATGTGAGTGTGGATAGCATGCTGTTCAAATTTGCTGACAACACCAAGTTTTGGGGCGAGGTGGGCACGCTGGAGGGGAGGGACAGAATCCAGCTATATCTAGACAAATTACAGGGGTGGATGGATGAGAACAGGATGGAATTCAACGCAGACAGATGCAAAGTGCTGCATCTAGGGAGAAGGAACCAGCAACACACCTATAAGCTGGGGAACACCCTTCTTGTCAACAGTGGCAGAAAGGGAGCTTAGAGTCATTGTTGACTCCAGGATGAACATGAGCCGCCAATGCGAGGAAGCGGTCAATAAGGCTAACTGCACTTGTCGTGCATCTACACATGCATCACAAGCAGGTCCAGGGAGGTGATCCTTCCCCTTTATGTGGCACTGGTCAGACCACATTTGCAGCACTGCGTCCAGTTGTGGGCACCACACTTCAAGAGGGATGTGGCTAGCATTGATAGGGTCCAGAGGAGGACCAACACATGGTGAAGGGGCAGCGGGGCAGGCCCTACGAAGAGAGGCTAGAGGGCCTGAACCTATTCAGCCTCCATAAGAGAAGGCTGAGAGAGGATCTGGTGGCTATTTATAAACTCACCAGCCAGTGGGAATTGGGGGGAGGCTCTGTTCCCCCGGGCACCACCCAGGGTTACTAGGAATAATGGCCACAAGTTGTTAGAGAGAGGGTTCAGGCTGGACATCAGGAGACATTACTTTACAGTTAGGGCTGCCAGGCTCTGTAATGGGCTTCCAGGGGAGGTGGTACTCTCTCCTATCCTGGGGGTCTTCAAGAGGAGGCTTGACAGATACTTGACTGGGGTGATGTGACCCCAGCACCCGTTCCTGACCAGGGCAGGGGGTCGGACCTAATGAACTGTTTAGGTCCCTTCAGACCCTAAGTACTACGATACTGATAAACCATTAATTGGAAGGAACCACTGACAGGGGAACAAGCTTTCTTAACGCAGGTTGTAAGTACATTGATGTGTGGAGAAGCAGCCTGCTGAACAAATTCATGGCAATGCCAGAGAACCTCTCTGACTTGGAAGGAGTGCAGTGGTGTAGGCATTCCTTCACATGCTTTCCATTTATGTCTGATTATTCGTCAGATAACAGCTGTTTTTAATCACAAGCTAGCATTTATTTTAGAATCAGAAAAGAAAGTTAGCTATTCCATTTCTAATCTCATCAGTGAACTACATCTTCTTTTCTAAACTTCCAGATGCTCTTTTTCTTTTAATGGGGAAAAAAACCTTACTATAAATGTCTTTTAATATAAAGAAATGATTATGCATTAAGGGATAAACAATTAAACAGTAGCTCAAACTACAGCATTTGCCAAAGCTCATGTTAGGAAACTCCGCTTCAGGAATTAACCACAAGAAACAAAGATCTTTAGGTTTATATAGCCCCTAACCCAAATCCTGCTTCCTGCCCTGCTCACGTAAGTAGTCCCACTGGATATTTGGAGATCTTTCCACAGAGCTGAACAGGAGCTCCTATGGGGAGCAGGCACCCCAACCCACTTTCATGGTCTCTGCAAGTGGGTTGGGGTGCCTGCTCCCCTTAGGAGCCTCTCCGCCAGTTCAAACAATAGTCCTTAACAAACAATAATCCTTGTGCAAAACACCAAAAAAATAAGCAAAAAAAACCCCTTTGGCTTTTCTCTAGGAGGCAGGAGAGGGCCCTTGAGCTCTGGCCCTTCCTGGAAGTGAGCTCTTCTAGGTTCAGTCTGCCTCCTGGCTGCAAACTGCTCCCTCCCCAGCTCAAGTCCCCAGCTCTCCCCCCACTTGGGCTTTTCACTCACAGTTTGGTTCCTACCCTGGGGCTGGCTACCCAATTTAAAGATCCAGACAATTCTGCTACAGTCTCATAAGCTTAACCTGCCCCTTGTTCTGTCATGTAAACTTTAACATGTTTCTAATGTCAGTTACTGCAGCAGTTATTTCCAGACAACTGTATTTTTCTCCCTGCTAAATATATCAACTAAACACCTGTAAGCCCAACTGGACAAACTAAACAAATGCATTTCCTTTTGAAACAGTGGTGGCCTAGCTTTCCGCTATCAGCACACAGGAGGATTGGGAAGATACCTGCGTGAGGACTGCGGTGTGTTCATCTCCACAGCTTATATAGATCACACCAATGCTCTTCAGGGCAGCTACTGACCAAGGCTTGAAGACTTGCTCTGTTGGAGAAACAAGATTACTGCAACATGTTAAATGCCTTTTTCTTTTTCAAAGCACCAGCTATCTAGTTACTCTGATGGTGCATTCCAGGATCCTGCCCTCTGAAATTTCATTTCATCTAATACATTAAAAATATTTAAAACTGCAGAGTAGATGGGGGATGCTTAAGGCAAAAGTTTAAGATCAGCAGTGCTTTAGTTTCCTCCTACAAATACCGATATATAGCTCCAACTACTGTAAGGGGTACTGTATCTTGTCAGAAATGGAAACATAAGAGGTCTCTGTCATTGCTTTGTAACAGAGGAGAAAAGCTGGGCTGATAATGGGAAAAATTCACAGGCTGAACATAAAATTGAAAGAGGGCTCCGGTGACTGAAAACTGCAGAAATAGCCACCTGGACTGAAAACCAACACACCTCCATATTCTATCAAGTTTATACACACACGCACACGCACAGACTAAGGTAATTCCATAGTTTATAAGCAGAATACCATCATATTACTCTGCTGTTTTTATATTTCCATGTTTGAACATAATTTAGTCATCCTTTCTAGTTGTGGAGACACTAACATCTCTTCATAAGTGCTTGATGTGTGGGCCTATCAGAGGAGCCATGGAAGTGTTTTGGTGAAAGTTGGACGAATTTATTTATTTCATCTTATCTTTTCTTACATTAATTGTTGGTAGTGTTACAGTGATGTTGTAGCCATGATGGTCCAGGAATTATGCAAAAGGCAAAGATTTTTTGGGGTGATATCTTTTACTGGACAATCTGCATAGTTGGGATAGTCAGACAAGCTTTTGAATCCAAAGCATTCTTCTTCAGGTGATCTTTGCATTCAAAAGCTTGTCTAACTTTTTCCCAACTACATAGTTAGTCCAATAAAAGATATTGCCCAAAAAGATCCTTCCCTTTCTCCTATTATTTTTCTCATATTGCTATTTACATTACTTGATAATTCACTTCTGCAGGAAGTCTTACACTGTAGGTTATTTGTAAGGAATTCCCTGTGAAAGCTCAATATTATGAGCTTTCACCGGGAATGTTACAGTACTTCCCTGTTCTGTTTTGGGGGGGGGGGGGG